ACAGTGATCGAAACTTGTAATAGAATTGACGAACGCAACAACTGAAGGCTATTGTTTGAAATAAACAAAAATTACGATACACACAGGCCGTGTCAAATTGCTCGGAAACAATGTTACCAAATCGAATTGGAGACTGTATGCATTTTAAAACTGTTTGCAACTAAAAGAGAATAAATTTTATTAATCGTCTGATGGAGGAAATATCGGGAGATGGTGATGGAGGTTATTCGCAAGATACAGATGAAAAATTAAGAGACGTTGGTTCAACTATTGGAAGTAGAACTGTTACGCTTATTAGGAATAAGTTGTCGCTTTGATATCCACCGATGTATATATTTTTTATTTTTGTCAAAGTGTTTGAAGAGTGTCTATAACATACCGCGTTAATATTTTTGTCGTGTTGTGTTACATAGCTTTGTCGACCGATTGATATTCGGAAATCCATAGGCGAAATCCAAAACGCGTTTAAATTTTTTCATCACTGCACATGGGTTCGAGACCCGTAATTCAATTCCCTGCCTATTCGCAGGCTTCCAGACGAAATGTTTTAGAAAATTTTTTAATTAAATTGTAATTGAAAACATGTTAGGCCTGGTAGGCATCGAAGCCACGACCCGTTGACTTCAGTCATATATTACTAGCATTGGACTAACGAACGAAATTAAGAGAAATTAACATTTAAATAAAACACTTTAACGGTTTAAAACGCGATATATTAGTTAAACTTATTTGAAAATGATATATCGCGTTTTAAACCGTTAAAGTGTTTTATTTAAATGTGTACTACTCGCGTAAACTGGACAGTGTGAAATTAACATTTGTTATTACTGAAGGTGTAAATTGCTTTTAACCGAGCATTGCTTCAATTGCCTATACAGTGAAACTGTGAAATATGGAACAAAGAAACAGGTTCGCCGACCTATTAAAATGTGCTTCCACTGAAAACTCCCATTTAAAAAACTTTAATGAATAGCTTAACTCCACGCTCCTAGCCTTTACAACATTCGTTTAAAAGTTTTCGAGCGAAAGCGTTACTACTTTTTAAAAATTCACCATAAAAGTGCAATTACTCGGATGATAATTATCACAAAACGATTTTTATTCTTTCGTGAGCTCTGGCGTTGATTCAAATTCAGAACGATATAGTGTTTATTCCTTATCGTGATAATTATATACGATAAATTTGTAATGAAAATATATTATTTTTAATAATTAAGGTGGACAGACCATGCCATGCCGTTCACTTGATGGTAAGTGATCCCTGCTTATAGCTATATATTATATATTATATTTTTGGTTATGCATATTCGGAAATTGAACATATTCGGAAACTGAAACCGATACGCGATTAAGCTTCACGGCATTTATGGACAGTAGTTCGAAGCCCAGATGGAATTTTTATATTCCTACCACCCATTTAATAACCAGTTTTCCCGACGAGTTCCAGAATTGAAAAATTAGAATTATGTTGGACCTGGTGGGGATCGAACTCAAGACGATCCTGGTGGGTTCCGGACCTGGTCCATTAGCTATACGTTGCTACCTTTAGGCTGATGAGCCCGTCAAATATCCCTTATAAGAAAAATAGAAAAAATAAAATTAACAAACAGGAGACTTACTGCCTTGTGATCTTGGATTCCTGTTGTGGACGTCACCGGCATCCAGGATTCGATTCCCAGGGTTAACATGTTTTATATAAATTAAACCAGACGTTTTATATAAATAGGATAAGCACGACATATAAATCAGGGAACCTTAATAGTGCTTAGGGAGTTTCATTACTTTTTATTATATCTAGATGTTTATTAATTTCTCAAGAGAAGCAATAAGGTATATATGAATTAATTTTGTCAAGCAAATGATGTAGATTATATTAAATTGAATGATTGCGTGTAATGTTCAATATCAACTCAGCTGAATCCCGCCCCTCCGTACTGTCAGCAACGTAGTTAAACTAGTATCAAATTATTTCCCTCCTACATGGTCTTAAAACATAATTTATGTAGACTAATAATTGTAAAGGAATATTTTGGATAGAGTAATCTATAACAAAATATTACATTTTCTAAGAAAGATAAATCGTCGATGACTTTTGATGCTTACTATACCTTTATTGCAAAGATTTTATACAATCGAGTCACGCGCCCTTATAATTGGAATTCTCAGTAAGATTCTGATCTTATAAGAAATATTGAGGACAAGTAATACGATTCGATGTGATATTAAAATCTGGGTACATTTATCAACTGCACTTTATTCTGTTGTACATCTATATTAATATTATAAAGCTGAAAAGTTTAGTTTCTTTAAACGCGTTAATCTCTGGAAGTACTTAATAATTAATTTATCGAAAAAGGCTTTATGTTATATAAAATCACGCTGTGACCAAAGCGTAGGAAAACGGGGGAAAAGTGAAAAAATGGGAAAGTTAAGTTTTAGGCCTTCCATTGCGTGCTCTCTTAAAACCGTTCCAGAAAGCAAAAAATATGTATGAAAGAATGATTCCTCTTTACATGATTTCTGCACATCAAATGTAGCTTACTTTAAGATTTTATTTTTTGATACCAGCAATTGTTGTACATATCCAATAAAGAAAAGAAATAATAGAGTTTGTTTCTGCTTCATAATATTATTTTGTTTCTATAAGTATGTTCTTTTTATTTTGCATAAAACTTGGCACTCATTTAGACTCATTTTCTAATGCTAATGATAAAATTAATTTTCAAACAACGAAACAACGTTTGCCGCATCATCTAGGTATAATATATACGACACTGATAAGGATTTCCACGTACCTATAATATTATTTCGACATGTAGTTTTTGAATAAAACTTTTAACGTTCAGAAAGCGGAAATAAAAATGTTCCGCGACTTATAAGGTACCTGAACGACCACAAACTGAAGAAAGTAACTTTTTAACTCCTGCTTCGGAAACTTAATCCTTGAATTTCCCAACTAAGATGAATCTCATAAGAATTTAGGCTTCAAACTTTATAATGGATGATGTTTTATGTCACAAACTTTACATAGAATTTTCCGAGATCATTTTATAGCCACTCAGGTGATGCTTTCATTAAAATTCATTCGAAATTGCCTCTCTTTTCGTAATTACTAAAATCCTTAAGAAGAAAAATTTTTGCCATATGTTCACTAAGTTATATTTGCCCCATAAATGTAAATAGATATAGACTGTAAAGTTTAATTAAATATGGGGAAAAAAAAAAAAAAACCCCCCCCCCCCCCCCCCCAAAAAAAAAAAAAAAACCCCCCCCCCCCCCCCCCCCCCCCCCTTTTTTTTTTTGGGCGGGGGGGGGGGGGGGGGCCCCCCCCCGGGGAATTTTTTTTTTTTAATTAAATTTTTTTTTTTTTTTTTTTTTTTTTTTTTTTTTTTTTTTAAATCTGCTAATGATTTCTAAAAATATAATATTGAGTAATGGAACAACCAGTAGATATAATATTAAAGGTTAAGCAAACAAAAAAACTGCATATTTAACTGTTTATTGTTTTACCCAGAGAAATATGTACAATTCTTATAAATACACATACAAAATACGGTATTTTCTAATTATCTACATAAAGACGATTTCCTTTTGCACGGTCATCGACGAAACGGTAATTGTTATAAATTATGAGTTAACAACAATAAAATGGCTTGATACTGTTTACTTAAAGTATAAATTAATTGTATAGGCCAGAAACAACGATATACATCTATAAATATCACAATTCTACAAGTAAATAATCAAGTTAATATTCTGTAGTTGACATCGATAATTATTTATTATCTATGTATTATACATGTACTATGCACACTTATTATCCTACTAAATAGTAATAATACGTTAAAATACTTTACAAATGTTTCAGATCCGCGCGTTAAATTTAAACAATTTATAAGATTCGCTTATTGCATACATTTTAAAGAATATTTCATATTCTAACCTAAAAATAATATTAGCAACGTATTTCACAGTGCTATAAACTGGTGGAGTCTACAATTTGAATGCAGCTGCACGATTATAGCGCGAAATGGGTTTATGCATATAAGATTTTGTTTAACCCTTGTACCGTTGAATGCGGGGAAAAATACTATAAAGAACTTTTACAGCGACCTAGTGTATAACTTATTTGTACGTAAATAATAATATACTATTATCTCTAAGTAAACTAATAACTAACGTTCAAAGTTTTAGTTTATCTATAAAAGTTCTATTTGTAGCTTGTAACAAGTAGAGCGAAACGAATTACGTAATATTGTAATAAACAATTATTAATGCTCCGGGGTCCGTTGACTGTCGTTACCATTTACCATGGGCAACACAATGACAGCGTCATTAGGAGATGATGGATGACATGATCTCACGATTAACTAAAAGGCTTACAATATGAAACATGATTATTTTGAAATGTTTATTGCACATTATAATATTTTTCACATGTTACTCGTGACGGTATGATATAAATTAAAACCCGATTATAATTTGAAAAAAAAAACAACCTTAAGACGTAAGTTTTAAGATTGAAATTACATTGCGCAAACGTGCATGTACAATAGGTTAAAAATATTTGACGAAGACGTGAAGGGCTCAGTAGCTCAATTGATTAGAGCAACGGCACGAAACGTTGTTGATGCCAGGTCATGTCCTGCCCAAGTCGTAATTTTTTTCAAATTATAGTCGATTTTTAATCAATGGTACATGTTAGTCTTATATAACTGAATCCTCTGAAATAAGGAATCATTGATACTGGCGGTGCATGGTAAGTCAATAGGACCAACAGCAACGAAGACATTGGGTGTAGATTTGAGTTCCACACATATCATCGTGTTTTTTATTTTATTTTTATCTTTAATGGATTTATAATTTAGGCTTACAATTTCTATTACCTTTTTTCTTAATAAACTTAGCTCTACTTGCCTCAGCGATAAAAAATGTATACACAGAGAAAAGCGAGTAAAGTAAACAAACATACATCTAATTCAGTCAAGTGGCTTCGCTTGTTACGTATTTAGAGTAACATATGGAGTTATACTGCCGTTAAGTTGGCTGGAACACTGCTTGTACGCCTGTCCAGCTTTTGGCACCAGCACTAATTGTTCCAAATCACCCTGTATAATACAGCACTTTTAATGAATCAAATCTAAAGTGCGAGAAGAATATGTCTAACATCATAACAAGGAAACTTAATTTTTTAAAGGACTTAACGTCAAAGTCACGAAAAATGGTCCCTTCTAAAGTTGCCATTTTCTTATCAAATGATCTTGCCATTATTCAAGAAAAAACGGCTCACTTATTTACGAATTGTTTTCTATTACGTCAGTAAACTACCTCATTACGAATACAAGGGAAAAACCTTTTTATAAAAATGATTAACGATTTCATTAGAGAAAGTGTAGCGTTATGAAAAAACGTCGACACATTATACTCATTCAGGGAAAATTATGTCACTCGTGGAAAATTAATTTTCCAGTCTTTATTTTCATCAAATCGCGACATAAATAAGATTTATTGCCAGTTTATTCACATTTTCTACGCCCAAAAGCTTTTAACAAACTGCGAGATTAATTGAACGAAGAAAAATAAATACTTATTTATGCTTATGAAATAACTTCTTTTTAAAAATTGTATGAACTAAGGCGCAGTGTATTATTAATAGAATAAAATGTGTAAAACGCGATTAGCATTTCTTTAAATACTTAATCAACGGATTAGAAAAACATATTAAGCGTAACGGAGCGTCAAAGCGGACCGTATAAATATTTAGGCTGTCCCTTTTTGATTAGATTTAATAAAAGTCTTACCGAGAAGAGATAGCCTATAATGAGATCGGCGTCCCTGGGGGTCTCCAAGGCATCCTTCTCGAGAACGTCCGTCCTTAGCCAGCGACAATCAACATACACCCTCACTGTGTTATCGTCGTGGACGCTAGAATCATTTGAAGTTTCTTTATATCAATACAATACAAAGTAATTATGAAGCATATTTTAACAAACCGCTTTATAATAATAATGGTCTATTTAAATGGGTTTATTATATATTGTCTGTAGTTTAAGCGGGTAGTACACATTTAAATAAACTTAACGGGTTTTAACGCGAAATATATTAGTTAAACTTATTTACACATTTTAAACTACGGCCCGACGTTTTGAACACATTACGAGTCTCAAACCGTTCAAATGTTTTATTTAGAAGTGTTGTTGTATTTAACTAAGATGCAATTTCCAGTCATTTAAGTGACCTTCAAGGTTTTTCATATAGATTTGATTTGGACCTTACTTCTTTCGAGACTACACTTTCTAGAATATAACTTAACACGTCAAATAAAACACTTAAACGATTTAAAATGCGGTATATATAAGTTAAATTTATTTGAAAGATTATTTTAACTACGGCCTGACGTTACGGATGTTTTCTAGCAGCGTGGTCACGGGGAGACGGAGGGTGTCTCTGACGTCAAAGTAAACACTGCTACGCTAGTGCCACCTGTTCCGTTGAAGTTGGTATTTGGCGTTTTAACCATTAAAATGTTTTTAAATACATACTATTTGCGTTAACTACAGACAGTATTTAATTACATTAGGGAGTTTTAATGTATTTAAGTACTCTACGAAGGTTTTAAAAGTTCAATTCCCGTCCTTCGTCGAGAGGTACATTCATTTCTTTTATCTCTTGCATCATTATTCACTCCTAAATATTGTGCTCTAGAGAGCGTCTACCTTTCAGCGAGCGCAATTGGTTGAAACGAAGGCATTACTTTTAATTTTCACAAATAAAAACTTAATGACCGTGTAGTTTTGCAATTTACTGAAAACTTTTCGTGCTGCATGCAATCTAGAATGATATCTGGTTTCAGTCTGTACCAGTATATTACTGGTCTGTGGCATTATAATAATATTAAAGTATAAGATGTACGATGGAACAATTTTAAAGATTAGAGTAGAATTAGAAAGATTCCACAAAGAAACCGGAAGCTTTGTAGTTAAAAGTGGTTAGCAGATGCGGAATTTATCAACCTTTTATCAGTGTCTCCAATAGAAAAGAAGAAGAGGTTTCTGACAGACAATTTTGTTATTCTGAAATATATATACTAAATACACTATAGAAAAACTGTAAACGTTGTATATATAAACCTTCCTATGTCAATCCTTCTAATGCAAGACATTACTTTGCGTTGTATAGATTTAAGCGCACATCGGGACAGAAAAGGGACGTTATTTTATACTATGTAGTAAGTACATTTTTAGGCTATGAATATCCTATTCCTTAGGCTTAGATCTCTTATGGGGGTTTACAAGCTTACAGCTACCACGTTGCTCCAATGCGGGTTGTCAAGCTTTACTGACCGTCATTTAATTAATGATGATTTCCGGAACAGACGAGATGGGATAAGTAATCCCTAATACGGAACTAATATTTCGCACAATCCGGGATCTCATAATCTACAAGCGAATAGTACATTCGATAAAAGCACTACAGACGATAGACTTTTTTATTTATTTATTCTTTATAATCGCGGATACTTGACAGGCTCGTTGGTGTAATGGTAGCAATGGATGGGTCGTGGGTTTGATCACCACCGGCTCTAACATCTTCCTAATGGGTGGTAGAAATATCTAAATTTCATCCGGTTCACAAACCATTCTTGACAACAGATGAAGCCGTGAAATTTTATCACGTTTCGGTTTCAGTCCGTAGTTTTCTGGATATCAAAAGGTCGACAGCATATAAGTTTAAATATGGCTGAGGTATTTCATCTTCCATCAAGTGAATCTTATGCTTGTCTATCCCACACTGTTATAAAATATGATTATTCTAGTAAGATTTAAAGTGTTGATTAAAAAAATAGTATCTCGTTATTTCCACATCCTAAGAGCTCAAAGAATTTTTACATGAGGACTTTTTAGTAAAGCGTCTCTGACCCAATTAAAAAGCAATCTCGAGAACTTTATTATATTAGATGTGTTTAAGTTGAGCTTAAGTTTGTATTCAGTTCACTTAAAAGAATAAAGTGAAAATATAAAAAAAACAATCGTAAAAGCTTTCGACATAATCCCAGTATTCATTTGAAACAATTTTACTTCATAAAAAACCCTTGCTTTATATTCCACTGTGCTTTTAGTTTTGTATCAGACCCACATCATGTTGCGAATATTTCCCAAGAGCATCGAGTTTCACTTCCGAATGCAATATGTTCGATTGCAAATAAACACGATTCATTTATCTATCACAGCATATAAATTTTCTATGTTTGAAAGTCGCGTTAACAAGAATATTAAAAAAGTTAAATCATAATTTGGGCGCTGTACATTTTGTGTCCGCGCTGAACGATTATAACTACAGTAGTTGGCCTCCTGTGCTCTGTCTGACCGAAACTATAATAACAGAAATATTAAGCAACCCCTTTCTAATTAATCCATTCTATAAGGTTGAAGAGTTTGTTTGTTTGAACGCGCTAATCTCAGGAATGGTAATGATTCGAATATAAAAAAACGTTTTGTATTGAGTACATCGTTTAGCAAGAAAGGCTTTATGCTTGAAAACTTTATTTTTTACTTTATTTATTTTCGATTTTAAAATTATATAGTGCACATGAAGGCACTATATAATTTTAAAATCGAAAATAAATTTTCGACTCGGCAGGACTCGGTAGCTCAATTGGTAGAGCAACAGCACGGTAATATGAATTGCTCCTGTTAACAAATATATAAAAATGTTTTAGTTTATAAGACATATTTAAAAAAAGCCGGCATGAGTTTCTTCTCAGTTATGTTGCTCTTTTGAACACTCTGTAGAAACACGACAAACAGACAGACGAACGAAAAAAAAAATTGACGAATCTAAATAATTTTTTAAATTTTAAAGTATATTTTATTTTGTTTTTATTTTTACGCAACCCTGGCCTGTTCAAGTCCTGCCCGAGTAGAAATTTTTTTCAATTTATTTTCAAATTTTAAATTATATAGGCTTTAAGCTACACTAGCTGTGTCAGCGACTTCGTCCACGGGAATTGTTTTTTGGGCATCCAAATTCGTTTTTACAATCCCCTTCATCTTTATAAACTTATGCTGTTAACTCACGAAGTTGGTCGCGTCCCTTCCCATCGTTCTTGAGAAGTCATTCCTTCATACATATTTTTTGGGTATCTTGAACCGGTTTTTGCAGTACGCCTCGGAAACCCATATTAATGAATCATTTTTCCCATTTTTTTTCATATTTCACGCTGTATATTCACGATAAACAGGGCGATGTTTTATAGCCTATAGTCTTCGTTCATAAATGCTCTAACCAACAAAAAAATATTTTTTCAACAAACAAATAAATTATTCAGCTTTATATATTAGTATAGATTACATACGTTGCGACCAATAAGAGCGAAGAAATAGTGGAAAATGTGGAAAAAACTGGGAAAATTATTAATTTGTGAGGGCTTCCCTTGAGTGCGCTGAGAAAACGGTTCAAGCTACAAAAAAAATGTATAAATAACTCGCAAGAACCACAGGACGCGGACGACGTCGTAAGTAACAGCTATCTTGTATATAAAACGCAAACTGTAATACAAAATAATTACGATACAGAACAAAGCCGGAATATTAATAATTAATATCTCGTTAATATTTGACTGCTTCCGCCAACATCAAACGTTTTATGAAAATAGTTGATAAATTGAATATTTCTAATATTAATAATACTGCGTTAATCTGTTAAAACGATTAAAGTTTAATGGTTAAACGTTACACGAGGTCTTAGATTTGAATTTAGAGAAATATAACAATTTTTTTTACCAGAAATAACTTTAAATGGGGCATAAAACATATAAACAGAATCGATCAGTGTGTCGGACATATAAATATGTATGCGCAATACCCACTTCATCATGCTTACCTTATAGCAATATGATGCCACCTGAAGTCATATAGGGGCACCGCTAAATAAATAGTCTTCTTTGATCCTTCTCCAGCATGGACTAGCCTCGCCGCACCACGTCCTGCTAACTCCAGGGATAAGAATGATCCTGAACGACGCCTTGATCGCAATGAGAATAGCGTTCCTTGTCCATAACCAGCGCTCTATTAACAAAATATTATAAGACGGTGTTTTGAAAAGCTCATGATTAATTAAACAAAATGTTTATTATCTATACTAATATTATAAATGCGAAAGTAACTCTGTCTGTCTGTCCCGCTATAACTCCGAAACTATTGAACTGATTTAAATTAAATTTGGTACACATATATTTTAGAGCCTGAGAAAGGCCATAGGCTATTTTTTAATGCCAAAAAAAGGTTGATATGGGTTTAAAACGGGGATGAAAAATTCTATGGAAATTCGTGGTTGAACAATGAAACTTTTTTTTTGGCTTTTTGGGAATAGCAGTGGGAGTGGGAGTGAGTGTAGGAATGAGAGTGGGAGTTAGAGTAGGAGTGATGTGAGGTGAGAGTGTTGCGTCAAAGTAGCACTTACAACATAGATAGGTTGCATTAAATGCGCCCTTACATAAATTAATAAACAGCCTAAAAAATTCTACCCCAAGTCACTATTTCACGCGGACTAAGTCGCGGGCACAGCTAGTTTTATTATAAAGATACAATCTACTTATTAAGAACGGTATCTAATAACTTTCCTATTTCAGTAGGACTTACTAATTAATTTCGAAGCTGCGATTTTCTTTTGTTTGTAAGACAGGATCTAAGTAATATTGCTTAAGTTTGTGTACACTTGAGGATAAACTTAGAAATATATATAAATATATAATTAGATAAACTTATTCTTATTTTTATTTTATGAAACGTTCAAGTTCAAGTTGACATAGCAACTGTATTTTTAGGTTAAAAGCATTTTAAAGCCACCATAATTAAATTAAATTCTAAGTTATATTCACAGAAAGCGTTGTCAGGGAACAGCCTGCGTTGTATGTAAAACCTTCATTAATTATAACGGTTTTAATGGACGCTTTAAGGGAGTTCCATTGATATATTTTATTCAGGTAACAACATTAATTTACCTCGGGACGTAACCTCAAAGAGAGGAATAGTGTGAACTCCTTTGGGAAATCTTTCCCGGCGGAAAATAGCTCGGAGGACGCAATCCAAATGTAGGAATTGGGCCGCAGGCTGAAAGCGTGTGGTCGGTCCACCACTCTGCCCCATCTGGCCTGGGCGGGATGGAAGTTTCGCCGGGCACCCGGGGACAGTGGGTTTATTGCACCTGTTAAAGACTCTGATATTTGAATGATACCAAATGCTATATCATACGATATTGGAGCTGAAACCAAAAACATAGATATTAACTTTTACTGCTTGAACTCAAGGACTTTCCTTTCGTAATTATTTACGTCGGATAACGGCAGCTATTGTTAATAATAATGGTCAATTAATGGTAGGTTTTAGATTGAATAATAAAATAGTCTAGCAAGGATAAATATTCATTGATTTTATTTCCATATTGTTGCAGTTTTGATATATAAAAAGAATCGTGGCCTCGTTTACGTGAGTAGAACACATTTCGATTTGTAATTATTTAGATAATCCACTTTTTACGGTTTAAAACGTGAAATATATTAGTAAACTTATTTTTTCAGTTGTGTTTTAAACTGGTCAAAGTGTTTTCTTTAAGTACGTTTTGTTGTTAGCGTTTTTAATCATTAGCATTTGCAATGTAAATCCATTGGTTTTTAAAACGTAGCGTACATTCTCTAGAATATTTAATGTTATTTCCATGTGCAAATCCTCAACAAAACTCCATCACAGGAAAAAGACGACGTTAATCTGAAAAGAGTCTAATCCTATCCTCTTACCTTCACATTCAAAAGAGTTACAAGATCTCCACTGCTCACCGAAGCCCTCGCATGCACCTCTGGAGCAATAACGTCTGCGGGTTTGTCTCCCCCCTCCACAAGTTTTACTACAAACCCCCCATTCACCCCATCCGGCCCAACCTAAAATAATGAAAGTGTTCTTTACAGACGTATTTTTCGTGTAAAGGTTTTATTTTTTACATCTTGCACTATATGGACAACATTATTCTAACGTTTTGTCTTGTTACAAAATGATATAGGAACACACCAATAAGGCTTAATTTTAAAAAAAACGGCTCACAAGCGCTTTACAGTTTTGTTTCGTCACTGCCTTTTGATTACAGTTTAACGAAGATAGCGAAACTGGCCTTTAACGTAATATGCCTATTTTTAATTTTGTCGCTATACTTATTGCAGTCTGATGCTTATTGAAACAGAGAATAAAACACTTTGACGGTTTAAAACGCGATATATTAGGTAAAATTATTTGACTACAACTCATTTTCAAATAGGTTTGACTAATATATTGCGTTTTAAACCGTTAATGTGTTTTATTTAAATGTGTACTACTCGCGTAAACTATAGGCAGTATTCAAAACAGAAAAGTTGTTTAAATGAACTAAATTAATCAACGGGTCGACTTGAATACTAAGAAATTCCGTCCGGATCACAAACACCCGTCCATAGATAAAAGCCGTCATGTTTAATCGCATTTCGATTAAATCATTTAATCCTTTATTGTCTGCGAATTTCCGAATATCCAAAGCCAAAATACGACGACAAGATGCCCTTGTTTAGATGTTATATGGCTAGGGCTATTGTTAGATTAGGCAAACGCAGTGTAGGACGACCTACAGAACGATGGACAGATGACCTGAAGAAAGTAGCCGGCAGCAAATGGATAAATAGAGCTCAAGAGAGGGCCGAGTGGCATGCTTTGGGAGAGGCCTACGTCCAGCAGTGGACCCAAACGGGCTGATAATGATGATGGCTAGGGTATTTACGTACCATCAAGTGAACTTCGTGCTTGACTGACCTGCTATATAAAAATAAGATATTTTCAAGACTGAATTCAACAATCTTATTATAGAGTAACTTTTGATAGATATTTATTTACGGTTGGTAGATCTGCGCTCGACAGTTTTCTTAGGAAATAAGTGTCACTTATCTCGATTTCCGCGTTTAACGAGTAACATTACGTTCGTTTATACATAGACTGACGTTATATACTTTAATGCGTTGATTTAATATATCTTTTTGATATGTACTATTGAAATATTTTCAAATTAAACATACAACTTTAAAATTGTATCGTATTCGTAATATTTTAACTTCTTGACAATTCTAGACAGACATTCTTGACTAGTTTTTATACATTACATTCTCCTTTCTACTATATTGTATATTCTTTTTAATTTCACAATATATACACTTGATATGACATTTGCCTTCATTTCTAGTTTTTATAAAGTAGTTATGATAAGGATGCATTTTTTGTAGGAAAAATATTTACAAGGAAAACTAACTTACCCACTGCGTTCCAAATGGCGATATCTACTCCGAGACTCCATGGAACCGCTGCAGCAGTGGCTTCTAGCCATTGGCCGTCTGGGGGCGTGGTCTCTAAATCTTCAGCTGGGTCACTGACCCTCGCGAAGACCACAAGTTCGCTCTGAGGCGCCATACTCCAGTTGAAGCAGGCGATAAGTTGTGAACTAATTTTGAGGTTGACCTGCCTGTAAAATAGTTATATTGAAAAATAGATTCTCAAAACCGTATTAGCTTTGTACCTTATTATTATATCTATACTAATATTATAAAGAGGAAAGGTTTGTATTTTTGTATCTAACGGGTAAACTCAAAAAGTACTGGACCGATTTTAATAATTAATTTTTCATTAGAAAGCTATATTTTCACTGAGTAACATAGGCTATAATTTGTACTTGATTACTATAGATATCTATACTTACTAAAACCAAAGGAAGGCGTAAATACTTAGCCGTAAAATACTTCGCGTACGCTGCGAAAAGTATTAATGATATGAAATAAGTGTTCGACAATTTTAGAGAATATTAATATCTACAAAAAACATCGCGAGAGATAATGTCTAACTATTGTAGTTACGTCGTTATAACTACTTTTTACATTTAACAAATTGATAGAAATGCCGATCAAAATCCGACCGTGTTATCCATACCATTTATAAATTTTTATCCAAATAAATAATTTAATATTCAAGACTATCTCAATACCTGATGATTACTTTTTTAATTATTGAAATCGGACATGCCATTCAAAAGATATCATGAAATTAAAATTAAAATACATGCCGGCGGCGGCTGCAACGCCGCGCATCGAGTAAGTAATTCGACGATAGAGGGGCAGTGGGCTCCTTACGCAGTGGGCGCGAACGACATTGAATATTTCGAGTTTTTTTTTTTAAACATTTTTTTGCTTCACTTAAAAAAGGTCTTTTCAGAGCTACTTAGTTTTAGTATTAGGAATCGCACTTTGCATAATGTTCTATAACTATCTCTTTGAACTTGAATATTTTCTTTTGTATTATTATTAGTTTATTATTAGTATTAGTATTTTTAATTTATAAAGTTGTAATATATAAAATTTAATTTGGCAGCCAATCAAACTGACGCCGTGACGCGTTACAAAGTGAAGCTGAAATTAACCTTTTATACATTTCACACCAAAACATTTTTGCCCGTTTTTTCGAAAAAGAAAGTCATTCATTGTGAGATAAGTCGTTACTCACCATTAAAAAAAAACTCGAAAACTTACTAGTTACAGCGTAAAACCTAATACATTATACTCTTACATAATTATTTCCTATTAAATAAGTTGCATAAAATAATAGTCTCTAAGGTTTTAAACTTACGTCATATTCTGACACAGATAATATACTGTAGATATCTATCAGAACTTTAGCAATTCCAAGTTAACTGAACTGTTCACTCGAACAATTATAGTATTCCCAGGTGATATTACCACGTTTTAACTAGTATAAATACAATGTGACTATTAAGACCTATAGACAGTGATTATTCAAACATTAATGGATTAACAAAATACTTACTATATCGTACAATATATTTGTATTATTCTACTATGTTACAATATGATTTATGGTAAGGCAATTGTTTTATAACTCCCAGAGGTAATATTTCGCGTTGTAAACCGTTAAAGTGTTCTATTTAAATGTTGCCTCTAGTAAACTACAGGCAAAGCTATTTTCTTGTTTTTTGTTAATTTTGAGGAGAGCTTTTAATTGGTATTCGTAACCATTTACTAAATCGAATTATAATGACATTAAATTGTAGCAAATTCGTTTTGATTAGTTAAAGTGAAATACTTTATACAAGTGTTTATATAGGTTCCAAAAGTTCCGTGCATCTTTCGAGTATCGGTATTCGATTCGCACAGAATTCGGGCTTGTAGGAAATTTAATTACACGGATCGCGAACCCGCGAACTTTGTTGGTTTAATTGAGTTCCATACTAATCTTTACCTCGCTCCCGTATATATGAAAATACCTAAGCTAGGAACTTAGGCGGACTATGAATGCAATAACATATAGTATACTGTCTATAGTTTACGCGAGTACACATTTAAATAAAACACTTTACCGATTTAAAACGCGATATATTAGTAGAAACGTCGGGCCGAAGTTAAAGATATTTTTTAAATAAGTTTAACTAATATATCGCGTTTTAAACCGTTAAAGTATTTTATTTATACATATAGTATTCTAAGCTATCTAAAGTAACTATTCAACGCGGACAAAAAGTCATGGACGGAAGGTACTTGACAGAAAAACGCTTTACTATAGAATATTGCGTTTATTATATAGCTCGGGTATTTTACCCTTATCAAGTAAATCCTATGCTTGTTCGTCGTTTTCTATTATAAAAAAAGGATTTGTAGTATGAAGAAACTAAAGAGACATGTGGGGTCCATAAAATATAACCAAGTGCCAATTTGGTTTTTCAATAAACAAGCAAGTAATTGGTCTGTAAAGGAAAAGACTACAAGTCATTCTACAAATTTAATTCAGCCCTTTGTTTCGTACTTTAAAACGCTACCAACTTATAACTTAACACGCACATAAGTTCGCGTGATCTTAACACTCTTCTAGTGAAACTTTGCCACTTTGAAAACTTCTGAGGTGGCTATTACCTTTAGTTGTTGTAAGCGTTTTGTAGGCAAGCGATAGAACTTCCAAACTACCGTGGTGTATCCTAGTTTTTTATAGGTTTTGTTACATACTTGCTTTTAACAGTAAACGATCTCCCGTGGAGCGAGTTTAATGATCGAATTTTATTATTTTCAGAAGTGTTTTGGTAACAAATGATATAAGATTCTTAAGCCATTTAACAGAGTAAGTGAATGTAGTAAATGAATGAATGGAATATACACTATGATTAAAGTATAGATAGTAGGTGTGTAAAAAAGTGTGACAGAACAACAGAAAATAATCTCATGTGTCTGTCTGCATAAACTTGTTGATCTGTTATTTTTTAACTTATTTATTCGGGTTTACAACAGATTAAAAACTTAACTTTATTACAATTAAGAATTATAATAGAGCTATAACAGTATACCACAGGTTACAAATAGAGATTAAAAAGGCAAAATAACAGACCTACGTGTTCGTATGTAAGGGCGAGTGTGTATGTATGTGTTTGCGTACAGATATTAAAATATTTTTTGTCTGTTAAAAGTGTAACTTTGGACAACTACTAAACACAGCCAGGCATTGGCGGGCATGAATTAGTACGAGTAAGATATACTTTCATTCGTTATAAATTAAAAAAATATATATTTTACATTGAAAGACGACACGGTCGGGACTTCAAACGATATCCATAGCGTTCCGTGTTGTTGCTCTACACAATAAAGCTACCGTGTCCTACACGTAACGTCGATTTTTAATCTATTGTTAGATACACCTTTCGCGCATTGTTTATTAAACGTTATTTAGTACTTACCTATCTGTAGTATTGTAAGGTGATCCTGAATACTGGCTCACTGAAGCCAGCTCCACTCCGCCTCGGAATATCGATACTAATGCTAAATCTAGAGTCTTACGCTGAAACAAAAGCAATGAAATATTCAGGTCAATTGTTACTTTTAAAACTTTTGTTCATTCTAAAATTGCATACACAACCCCCACCTCTATGGCTTCATAAACATAGTGCTTAGCATTGCAATAAGAGAACGCCCTGGGTTCGAATACCGATAAAACATAATAATTAGTTTAACATGCTTAGGGCACAATTGTCTTGTAAACTATTGACCTAGTAATAGTAAATCAAGTAAACAGACACAGAAGTATATCTATCCATAATTAGGGATATAGGATATTACCTTACAAAACGCTTACGGGCTAATTTAAAATACATTAGCAACTTTTATTTGTGTCAAGAGAGAGTCCTTTTATCAAGAGAAGGGATATGCATTAATACTGAAGCAGGTACACACAATTATAATCCTTCTTGCTAGAACACATCTGGTACAAAACGGCTTGATGAAAATTGTGGTTACAGCGTATTTGTTGAGATACATATGACGTAGTCTCACATTTAATATTAAGCTGCCTACGGCTACACGAGTTCTTATATTGAATTCTCAGCTCTGCTAATAATCATGTCTGCTTGTTATATGTAGGCGGCAATATCAACTGATTAAATTCAATTCGATGATTGAATTGGGATATTTATAACACTGTGGTAATCCAAAATGATGTAAAAATACCATTTATAGTTGTATAGTTCAAGCTATATTCTGAATACCTAAATTCTAATACAACGTTCCACGAAGTTCTAGGGTCAAATTGTTTAAGAAAATACACGTTTTTGACGACGTTGTTGTTACTTTTGAGTAATGTTAAATATTTAAGCATATTTAATAAATACCTGCCACAGTGTTAGTTACCATACTTGTCCAAAATGGCTTCACTATTTTTTATGAAACTTCATAGACTTATTCAGTAGGTCTGTCGGTTACTATTTTTTTAAGCTCCTCAGTAATGAGAATTATCCACCCCTTACATTTTCTTTTTATATAATTTTATTGGTTATAAAATATTTTTAAATAATTGCTTAACGTTAATTAAAAAATGTAAAGTATTTGGTATGGTCGAAACGGCTCTTACCAAATCTTTACACACTTCCGTAGAATTTATGAATATAAATATTTCCTAGAAGTCATTTATGCGGCAAAACATCGTTTGCAGTTTAATTTCTCCTTAAGAGTTTTAAACCATTTCATCTTACTAAGCAATATCCTTAAGCGATGCATCTTCACAAGAAACTATTAAGTATCTTAAAAGGTTTTTTCTTGTAACTCGGTTAGTAAGTTGCTTTTTTAATGTTTAGTGTTTGCTTGTGTAATTTTTACTACACTAAAATTTATAGAGTCGAAATTAATATAAAGGGATGTCCGACAAAGGTGATACGAAACACCTACTATTGAGTAGATATGCAAACAGAGACACCCAATCTTTTTTCACACAATTCTTTATAGACATACCGTTAGCCTTAGTAGTAACTTAACACAATTCCCTTCTCTATCACTTAAGCAATTCCACAATTAGGTAGGTTAGCCTAAGTGTTTTTGTTTGAAACCCGTTCGAAAACATTTACATTTCTCTTTGAAAATACATACGGGAATACGTAAGATTTTTTTAGTAATAAAAGTTATTAGGTGTAGTTTCGGGGAGGTACATGTTAACTAAAACATTACACGTTGGACGCAAAATATATTCCTTATTTGTTTTATTTTTTTAAATCTTGAATGAAATACTTATATATTTCGCGAATTTTCTGGCTATTTCGCAACCACTGTTTCTAGCTGTTGAACTTTGAAAATTGAGTCACCGTGTCAAATGGTTACTGCAGCAGTGCAAAACATTATTCGAGTCCCTCCCACCGACATTTGTATAATGTCTAATTAAATTAAGCTCGAAATGCAAAAAAATACCTTTCGAACTTAGTTATATTATTTTTAATAATACTTAGAAAGGGCCACATCATTACTTAGTACACAAAGTATAATATCAATCTATTTTTCCAACTGTACGTTTTGTTTCATATTTAACAAATAAAATACAAACACAATATCGAAGAAAAGTTTTGTAAGTTCTCTAATATAAGCCATTAGTATCAAGTTAATATAAATGATTGTAATCAACCTTTACCATTTCACTGATATTTAAGGGAACATTTATACGAAGGATAATTAAACCTTTGCTGAATTTCTAACTTTTTAAAGGTTTCATTACCGAAGTAAAAAGATCTTTGAAATAAATGTATATTTCTTGTCGACCTGAGGAATGGCGGCGTAAAAGCATTGTAAGTATTAAAAGCGTAGTGCTTAGCGAATGTTGGAAAGTTAAAGTTTTTTGAGCCTTGTTACAAACAAAATATCTTTAAAGTTATTTTTTTAATAGTCATAGAGGACATAATTATTAGGTTACATGAAGTATATTTTTAAAGGTGGTCCGTTCAATGAAAGAAAAGTTACTGGAGTTGAGTTTTTTAAAAGTGCCATTTTTTTACTTGATAAAATTATTTCAATAAATTGTATTGTTTTAAAAAAAAATAAACAAAACACTAATAAAAATATTTAACGACATCGCGTTTTAATATCTTTAGGGAATATAGAGGTTCGCTCATTAAAGCTATCATTGGATGGTAGGCTTTACGTACATTCTTCATAAAAAACAATATATTGCCTCCTTATACAACGTGGGCGAGACGAAAATGTAAAAAGTGATCAGCCATTTATTATTTCTTTTTGGAATTAAGTTGGACTTTATGATATGTGTTATGTATGACACTCTGTGCCGAATTAAACGTCTAAGTATGTATAAGGTGACAGAGTCACCTTATATTAAAACAAATAATGTCAGTTGAAGTAATTTCGTAGAGTACAAATACTATTCAACATCAAATGAAATTAACGTGTTTATGCGGTATCTCGATCACGCTATGAACAATAATTCTGAAATCGGAAATAATTTAATGTCGAATTGAACACGACCAGATTGCATTCGGATTGAAATGCCGTTTCGCTTCAAGTAAATAAAAATTATATTAATATGTTGATCGATCGATTAGTTAAAAAAGACTTTTGATGTACAAATTAAAAATCGATTATAGAATGAAAAGAAGTTACGACTAGGGCAGTACTTGAACCGGCATCCACATCGTTCAGTGCTGCCGGTCTTACCAATTGGGCCACTGCGTCCTAACGAACGTTTTCAACTGATTGATATGTACCCCTCGCATAATATAATTTCAACTTACATATAAACAAATATAACTTTTTTATGTATTATACAGACGAATTGTTTAATTGTCTTTCGTAACAACCTAATAACTATGCTTTTGATAAATTAATTATTGATATATTGTTTGTCAGGACATAAGGGATGAGCCTGACGATTAAACTATAGTTAATGCGCAATTAAGTGTTAGTACCTAGTTCGATTTATAGCTGTTTTACAGAATATATATCTTAATTAAACATATGTAAAATTACAGTGATTAAAAACATAGATGATAAAGTCGTCAAGTCGCGATTCGGTTTCAGTCTGTGGATTTCCGAATATTCACACCCAAAGTACGTCAACAGTTTATCTTGTATAGATGTTATATGAACCCCTGCTTAATTATAAAAAAGATCCTCACCTGCAAATGTGTTTCAACAACAACCGCTCTAAAAACTATGGACGCGTCTTGCACCCTCGTCTCAAGCGGCCTCTCCGCAAACTTCGGGCACTGGCTGTCACAAACTATAGTCTGACACAAGAACAGAAGCACAACTAACAAATCTCTATTGGAAAGTTCGCCCGGCGGGCGTATTGATGACGTCATTTTCGGTTCGGGTTGATTACGTTACATACTCCGTATTCATTTTACCGCACTGCGTTTTGGTCTTCTTCTCCTCTGTCGCTTTTTGTTCTGCATTATCTGGAATGAAGGAGAATAAATTAACAACCGATAAAGTAAAAAAAATCCTTTAATGTTTGAATATATATGAATATATATATATATATTGAACACTAGCTGTGCACGCGACTTCATTCACGTGGAATTAGTAGGTTTTGGGTATCATATATATATTTCGCGTCGCACGCAGGGGAATATCTTAAAGATGATAACTTTTCTCGTTTGTTCCACATTTCCCACTGCTTCTTTGCTCCTATTGGTCACAGCGTGATGTTTTATACCATAAAGCGTGTTAAGCAAACTCTTCAGCTTTATAATGTTAATAGATAAGGATTCCTAACTAATGACGTAAAATGTATTGCTTGGCATAGCCAGTTGATTTATTCACAGCCAGAAGGGACGTATATTCGGAGGATAAGTGATTTTTTGTATCTTGAACAGCTAACATTGAATTATGTGCTAAAGTAAGGAATAAGAAATTCTCTTTATTCAGCTTGAGAGTAAGTTTGTAATCTTCCTCATCGTAAGTTAATTCTTGGAAAATGTCTTTAAGAAGTTAAGGGTATAATCTTAAAAGTAAGCTGAGTCGCATCTTCGTAGACATTCTTAAGGATTTAAGGGCTCACCTAACACGAGTCGCGTCTAAGTAGGCTCAACTTGATGGATTATGGGCGATATTTGATGAATCGCGTCGATTTCCACTTCACTTCCTTTTATTTATATAATTTATTCGTTAAATAGATATTGATAAGTTTTTCTTACTTATTCGTTATTATGTTTAAGGGATTACAAAGTGATTTATCAGTTTTAGGATATCTAATAGTTGTTATCAATGTTGTGTAACGTAAAAAATGTGTCTTTAATATATAGATATTTGCTTTATTAACCTACTTTTTTACACTATTTATCTGTGAAACGTTTTTTAGGATGCACTTTTATTTTATATAATTTATTCTTACTATAAAATTGTATTCAGTTGGTGTTTCTGTTATGTTTATTTCTTAAATAAATAAAATAAACTCAAAGAAGGCAGCCATAACCTTCAAATTCTTCTCTTAACAAATGCAAGTCTAGAAAGAATAAGTTTGATTCATATATAAATAAAACACTTTTAATAATCGTTTACTTGTAAATAAGTCCAATTACATAATTTCTAATTTATTTCAAGTATGGCCCGACGTTTCGGATGCTTTTGAACAGTCGTTGTGACAGGGGGCTGAAGAGGAACGCTGTCTCTAATGTCAGTTTAACTGCTATGCTAGCGCCATCTGTTTCGTAGTTTGTAAAATAGACTCACGGTGTCTTTTCGTTTACCGTTTTGCTGTTTTTTGGGATGTAGTGCAAACAAGTTAACTAATATTATTTCGCGTTTTAAACACTTAAAATGGTTTTATTTTAAAGTTTACTTCATATATTTTTATGTGTTGTGCACCATACTGTAAGAAATCCACAAACTATTTTATATATAGCTAAGTACATAAATACGTAAGGTTCTACAAAAAAAAAAACGTTAGTTAACCGGTGCTTAGCTAATTCGCTTTATTGTATTGTCAATTGTGTTTTGTTTTCTATAATATCAATTAAATCAAATGAAGGGAAATCGATTGAAGAAACTTAGGTCTGTTTATGTGAAAACAATTATTTATTTAGAGTAAACAATCTCAAAAAGATCTTTTCCTTATTATTATCGAATAATTTGGTATTTGTTTGTAAATAACATTTACCAGTGTCACAAATTAATATTAAAATATGAGATAACTAGAATACATTCTCAAACCACGTTATATCGAACATTAACAGACCTAGATTGTTTTTGTAATTAGCTGCGGCCATAGTGGTAAATGCGGTTTCATTTCGTATAAACTGGTCCAAATTGTAGATACATACATAATATGCCTTTGTGTATGTATGATATAACTTTAGAAATGCCCAAAGAAACATGTTTAAACATATGTTATGCAGAAAAAAGGAGTGAACGTCTTTACGGTTTTGCCTTTAAGGTTTTGCCTAATTTTATATTAAGTGCCTAAGTATATGTTAAGTCATTAAAAATATATATCCTTTATCACAATCATCAACTTTGTAGAACTAATTGAATAATAACGAATATTCAATTATTTGTTATAATTTTAACAGTATATGTAAAAAAAGTCTTTAGTGTAAACATATTTTAAATCTATGTTTCTTGCTTTTTACTTTTCCATCCACATTTTATATTAAACAGATTCCACTTTGATGGCCAAAATTTAATTATCCCGGTTGTAAAAAGAATCAAATCATCTAAGTATTTTCTGTAGTTTACGTTTGTTAGTAAAGATTACTACACATTTAAATTAAACGGTTTAAAACGCCACATATATTTGTTTACTTATTTTATATCGCCTCTCAAAATAAAACAATTCCAGTTTGGTACAAAAAAATATTAGATGACGTCGTCAAGAGATACATATGCACAATTTTTAAATAACAAAGTCTATAAGACATATCGCTTTAGACAGAGTGCTATACATCAAGCCTTAATTGTTGGTGATCGATAGACGTAAGTGCTCTCCGAAATGTGGCTTAATTTACCTTAGCTTGTAATAAATCGCTTACTCAATCATCATTATCTAACGTCGGTGAATGTCTTCGGAATTAGCGATAATTAAGTGCTGAATTTGCTATTGTATCTGCTGATTTATGCTTAATTAAGATTAGACATGATTGAAGAAAATAGCGGTCTCCCTGCTTCTGTTTTAGACTTCACAAACATTAGCTTCTATTCCCGCGGCATATTTTAGGCATCAACATTTGTTTTTAACAAACAACCTTCTCCTCGGCTTTTTAACCTTTAAGTACCGACGTGCATTTTTTGTAACGTTAGTACCGATGTGAGTCCTGAGTGGCCTTGCATATTATATAGTTTTTTAGAAAAAGTGATGAGTCAAACTATTTGTTTTTACATTATGATGAAAAATTAAGGGTATCAAGAAAACAAAATATAGAAAGGATACTTTTTGATTTTTTTATAATATAAGACTACAATAATATTTGGCGTGAACTTAGGTGAAATATCCGACTATTCGTTATAAAAAACCAAAACATAAAAAATAAGACACTCAGAATAACAACAAATAGTATTTTTCACTTATGATTGATATAAGTCTTAGAAAAAAAAATTAGTAGGAACATCAACCTTCAGAAAAAAAAATGCCCACAGTCCAACTACGCCTTAAATTCTAAGCACTGTCAGGGCACACTTGTTTCACGCACTGCAAACATACGTGCTTTTTGCATGAATAGCATTTACAGGTTGATTTTATTTTCAATTTAGGTAGGCATGATAGACATGACTTTCATGTTTTGACTTCCTCGGCTTCAACTTCACATGTCTCTGGCTTATTAAAACCAAGTACTCTCGCTCATTTTAAGTTCACGGGACAACCTTCTGTTACAAAATCTTCCCTTTATATGATCTACCAACCACCAACTGTTGAACTAATTGTTTTATAATGGCTCCTCTATCAGTTTGTCTTTCTACGTATGTCATGTGATGTGAATTAATGGAACTAATATCCAAAATCCGGTAAAAAATTGTCATAGGCCAGCGTCCTGATCGGCGGCTGCAAGTCTACACAGAACACTTCTTATATATTTCATCTACTCCGTATAATTTCTGGTAATATCAATACTAGTATCCGTATCATGCTCGCTGTGCTTTAAACAAAAATCTTCGCCAACGTAATCTACCTCTGATCCGCTGGAATCCTCAGCTGCAAACCAGCTCTCAATCACCGATAACTATTTGGATTCAATATCGTATCAAATCGAGATCTCTTTGAATGTTGTAAATCTGTAGCAAAACTATTTCACCTATTACCGGAAGTCCCTGGTTCATAATATTTGTGACAATAATAGTTTACTATATAAAACAAAAAACTTACGTAAGCATCGACGTAAGGCCTGAGAGGCCGCGTTGGAATTTCAAAACGTTATTACTCACCAAATACGTCCGCGACAAGAACACTGCCTGTTCCAACGTCAACGTGGGCACAAAACTTACAGCTACTTAAAAATGGGGATTGGTATTGTGCAGGGAAAGGGGTAAACTAACAAGTCAAGTACCTGCTGGGGCCTCTCAGACCGCACGTCCGTACTTAAAGGTTAAATTATATGTATTACCCACGACAATGTCCGGGTCCCGTCGTTCTTGCGAATTAATCTAGAAGGAGTGTCGTGAATTCTTTGTAGATCACACAATCTAGACAAACATAGTACGCACACTTCTTATGTCTATTTGTCGTCTGTAGTTAAGTATAAGAGCTGTCCATATTCTTGTTTTTATAGCTATACTTGATAAATAAATTATCTAGGTAACTCAAATCAATATTATTTTTAATAAGCCTAACAGTGTTAGACTGTTTTTTGAAGGCAATGTTTTAAAAAAATTCAACTAAACACTTTTAAGCTTTATTTATAGTTTGCGGGATGAGTTCACATAAAATGAAATTATTTAACGGTTTAAAACGATAAATATATTATCTTGGTTTAATTAGAAAGGTGGAGTGGTATTTAAAAATAAATAAAGATTAAAATGTGTTTTATTAAGTATTCAATCTTAAGCCCGACGACGTTTCGGATGCTTTACAGCAACTTTATTCACGGGGGATCCGAAACGTTGCGTGGTTTTAAAAAATATTTATTTAATTTATTTTTTTATCAATTGTGTACTTATCGCATAAACTACAGATAATACTTTCTTTTTTTTTTTAAATCAATATACGTGAATATTGATTTAATCTGAAATTTGTAAATCAGCCTTTCTGATTCAAGATACCTTTTGTTAGAAACTTTCGAAAGCAATAATTTTGAATGTCGACTATTTGCTTAAGCGTTCCAATGTCAAGTGAGAACAATTGAGCATCGTGGGGGTCTGGAAACAATTC